CAGGTTGCTCAGAGGCCTGTCCAGCCTGACTTTGAACAGTTCCAGGGATGGGGCATCCACAACTTCTTTGGGCAGCAGGTTCCAGTGCCTCACCACCCTCATAGTAAAGCATTCTTTTGTAATATTGCGTTTAAACCTATTGTCCTTCAATTTGGACCTGTTTCACTTGTCGTGCCTCAACATGCTCTTGTAGATAGTCTTGCTCCATTTAGTTGTGCTGTTGTTTAGTTTTTCTAATACCATGTTAGTTTGAGCTGTGTTCCCATGGATTGGCAGATTTGTTGTTCTTCTGTCAAGTCCTTTCCAAATTCAGAAATTGTTCATTTGGGGTTTTTTTTTAAGTGCTTCTCTATGTTTTCTTGCCGTGTTTAGGGAGTAAAAAAAACAAGAATTCCAACTGCTATAAACTTATTCAGATAAAATCTGGTGCTAATTGAGAAATCCTTGCAGAGTTCCTGCTGAGTGTTTTGAGCAGTTCAGGCCTCATTTTTTAGCCAGCAGTCATGCTGATGAGTAGCAGGAAACTTTGAACTCCCACGTCATATTCTACAACCATGTGGGTGCTGTGACGGCACTGTAAAGCTCAGGAGGTGTTTACACCTCTGAGATGTATGACTGAGCTCTGGGGCTTCCTCCTAGAAAGTATTTAGGGCTAAACCAGGTGTGTCTGACACTACCCTAGATTTACTCCTACACTTCAGATTTGTATTGTGCAGCAGTATTTTCATGAACTAAAACAAGTCCTGGGAACACTTCTTAGAGAATCAAGAGAGGTATGAGGAAGTGTATCATTAAGAAGTGGGCATTTGATAGTGCTGAGGTCTTCAGCCCTTTCCCTTATCAGACTGGGAGCTCCCTCTGGGTTGGAGTGGAGGCCAGCCAGCCTTGTGCTGTTCCTGAAGAGGGGATGGATGTTTATGCAGACAGTTCTGAAGGAAGCGTGCCTGCTGATTGTTGTGTTTGCAGGTGATGGAGCAGCTGCAGGGAGCCATGGCTACACCAACAGTGGCTACAGCGTTTACGAAGAGGAGAACGACAGGTTAACAGAAAGCCTGCGTACAAAAGTCAGCGCCATTAAATCGGTACGTGTTTAACTGCAGCGGTGTCGCCACAGGCAGTACATTCAGTTACAGGAATCAGGGAAGCAGCAGACTTAGTTTAGAACAGAAATTTACAACTGTGATGTTTTAACCGGGTTGGATGTCAGGTGACTGACCGCCAAAGCTGCTCTGTCTCTCCTCAGGTGGATGGACAAGGGAGGAAAAAGCACAATAAAAGGTCCATGCATCAAGATAAGGGCAGGGAGAGATCACTCACCAATTACCATCATGAGCAAAACAGACTCAACTTGGGGAAATGAATTTATTGACAGTCAAATCAGTAGGGTAATGAGAAATAAAAGACTTGTCACTACCTTTCTCTTTTTCCTGGGCTCAACTTCACTCCAAATTTTCTCTACTTCTTAAACCTTAGTGGTGCAGGGGAATGGGAAATGGGAGTTTCAGTCAAAAAAATTGTGACATGAAAACAGCCTTCAGAAATAGCATGCTAATATCCTCTGAAGGAAAAGTTTGGTGTTCTTATGATTCTAATTCCTTTCAGAGATTGAGGACTTCTTTCAATCAAGTCTAACTGAAAGACAGCTCTGAGATTAAAGTTGTGTGGATTTATTGTTCTTACAAGTTTAAAGTATTATAAAGCACTTTCCAGTGAATTTTTTAGGCCTGAACTCACTCGACATCTTACTGCTAATACTGTTGCTTAAAATTGGTTTAGTCTCAAAGAGAAATTAAACAGTTTTAGAATAAGAATTTGGAACAAGTTAAGGGGTAAAAAAAAGCTTTGACCTTTGTTATCAAATTTAATTTCTTGTCTCCTGCTGTGCTATGTTACATTTCAAAATCCATGTATGTCAACAGAGCAATTCATGGTTCCCCAAGGAGCTCGTTCTGGAGTTGTATCTTTTAGTGCAATGGGATAATCTTGGCATATGGAATAGCCTTCACATAATCTTCCAAGAAGCCTTGTATAAAATCAGTTTCACTTTTGATTGAAATGCATCAGTATGAGATAATGAGATTCAAGTTTTGACATGTGAAAACAAATGGGTTTTGGCTAATCCAAAGCATGGCGGCCTGGAGTGCATTTCCCTCCATCCCAGGAGTTGAGCAGGTTGTTCAAGGCCAGTGTGCTGAAAACAGAGGAATGGCTGCTAAGAGTCGGGCTCAGTGTCAGTTCTCCCCTGTTTAACTGCAGAGCTGCTTTAAGCCAAGGCTCTTCTGGCTGGCTCCCGCCTTTGTGCTGTTGCAGCTCCAGCTGGGCCCGGTCTCGTACCTCTCTGATTCCAACCCTAGCCTGACTTCACTTTCTGGCTTGACCTGGGACCTGTCTCAGGCTTCTGCCCAGGCCGTTGTTGGCCCTGGTGACTGTCTCAGAACTGGCTCTTGTGCAGCTTTCCTCCTTCTGTTCTGTGACACAAAGCAGAGAAGGGCTACACAAGTTCACTGAAGAAAGTCCTGTTTATAGCACAGCAGCAGCTTGTCAAAAGAGATGAGTTTGCAGGTTACAAGTGTCAACTCCAGCAACACTTTTAAGTCAAACCAATGCTCATGGTTTCTCTACTGTTTGGCAGCAGTTTTAACAGTTGTTTCAGGAAATGGGTAATTGCTACTTTCAGACTTGACTAGATCTTGAGTTTTTTAAAGTCTGTGCAATAATTCAAGTATGACATTATCTGGAAAAGGGGAAGAGGAGTATCAAGTACTTCCTGCGACTCTTTAAACTCATCCAGTCAGATGAAAAATCTTACTTCCTTAAGGGTTATTGATAGATAACTGTTTTTGCTTTTTGAAAATATCAAGTATTGCTTTCACTGGGGAAAATGCTAGTCATGTATTTTCGACTGGGTTTCTAGTCTATGTATTAACTAATTATACATATTTAATATTTTTTTGTTTTGTTTTTGTTTTGATAGCTTTCCATTGAAATTGGAACAGAAGTTAAAAACCAGAATAAAATGTTATCAGAAATGGTAAATATTGAATAACTAGCTTTCTTTAAATATGGGTCGGGATTAGAAGTTAATAATGTAAAGCATCCTGTCTTTTAGTATGAACATTGGTATTAAAATGTTGACAGCTTATTGTTGACTGTAACATGTGACTGATTTGTCAGCAGTATCAGTATTTCTGTTAAAAAATATAAGATGTGCAAATACATTACTCTTAAGGCACAACCAAGATCTTTATGCTTCAGATAGGAGTATAGGTTTTCAATCAGCAAAAGTCATTAAAAAGGTACTTCTATATTTAATTGTATTCAAGAATAGAAAAAGGAAGCAAAAAACAAGGAGTCAGAAATGCCTTTTTTGCTTACACTTTGCCTTGGGGTAATAATAATAGTGGATAAATGGGTGAAAGTTTTTCATGGATAATTTTTGCCTCTAAAATAATTTTAGTTTTGGAAACTTTATAAAAACAGGGAAAACTATATTTAGTGAGCTGTAAGGGTATTTCTTTCTCAGAGTAACATGTATTTTGTTCTTTTGTTTGCTTGCTTGTTTCTTTTTTTAAAATGTAGGAGAACGATTTTGACTCTACGGGTGGACTACTAGGTGCAACTATGGGCAGACTGAGAACACTCTCCAGAGGAAGCCAGACAAAGCTATTATGCTACATGATGCTCTTTTCATTATTTGTTTTTTTTGTAATATACTGGATTATTAAACTGAGGTGATGCATGTTACCTCTGGTTTATATTGTATAATTTCAGCTGTAGTCTTAGTTAATGAAGACATTGATTTCTAGTGGCACATTTGGTGGATAAAACAGTGAAATTGTTGTAAATTGCATTAACAATTAATGCGAAGTTATATATAATTTTCTTAATGTATCAGAGTTTTCCCCCTGTTTTGGGGGGATTATTTATAAATATGCAGAAACAGCTAGCCTAGTGGGATGGATTTTTTTAGGGGAAAATAGTTTTTAGAATTGATTGAAAACATTCAAAGAACAGTGGTTATTTGAAAATTAAGTAATTGCAGAATTTTGAGGCTTTCTTTTTCATTCTGCTTTTCATTCTGGGCCATGCTCTAAATTAGAGCTGCAGTTTCAGGCATATGGTAATATCAGTTGCAAGAGCCCAAAGAATATGTGGATCTTTCTAAATAGATCTTACCTGTGGAGTTTTAAAGGCTGGCCTGAAGCTAGCAAATGTAATAGTGGTACCCCCAAAAATTACTTTTGTGGTTAGATCTGATAATGTTTAAGTAACTTTAACTGTGTGTTTTGGCAAGAAGTTACTTAAAATTGGATTTTTTATTTTTTAATTTAAAGGTGACATATTATGTTTACACATCTACTATTTTAAGCAAATGCCTTTCATCATTGGGACCAGCCAATATGGACACAGTACAAATGTTTTCTTTATATTTAAAGTATTTAAAACTTAAATGATTCAATTGAATCACTTGAACTTCTACCATTAGTATGTTTACTTTTCAGTTAGTGATAGTCCCTAAATCTACAGCACATGATGTCTGAAATACAATGGCAGATATTTTGAATTTTATGTTAAAGCATAAAATTATGCATTTGTTGGAGGTGCAGTCACATTAAGGTATGTTATTTTGAACACTTAGTTTTGGCTCACCAAGTAGTTTCTAATCATTAAGGCTATTACATTGCTGAGTTTAATATTCAAAAAAAAATTAAGTTTGCTAGATATTGAAATTGTATCTACAATTTTTGAAAAACTTTTTTATAAATACTGTATGATGTGTTACCATTAATGACCAATTATGAATTTACAAATAAAGTGTCCTGTAGTATTATCCTAGCTAGTGTTGTTTATACACATTGTTTCTACTGTAGAATACCAGTATATTTTTTTTAAATGGTGCTGTATTTAAGGGGCAATTTTTATTGTTTCAATCAATAATACAGGCTGCCTCTTCCAGCTTAAATGGCTTTTTTAGGAAGACTTTAAGTAATTATGCACAGTTTTGATATTAATGTGTTTATTTTTAATATTTTTCTTAATAATTATTAAGAAAACACAACATGGTACATTGCTGCTGAAGTTCAGGCCTCTGCAAGCTTCAGATACACTTAAACAGTTGTTTGTAGTGTTTTTCAAATAAAAATTTAACACTACTCCCATCACCAAAAGTCCACAACAGTGGAGTACAAATTGATAACAGATTTGGCAAAGACAGAGCTCATTTTAATGATTGCTTGCTAAAAGTGAAAGATAGGGAAGGTAAGGCACTGTTCTGGGGTTTTATTATTGCAGGGAATAATTTGTGCCATAGTTGTTCATCCTGAAAGCAAAGCTATACTGAAATGAGATTAAGCTACATAGCTTCCATTCATATGGAAGTTCTGTTTCGTAATTGTCAGCTTAGATGCTGTGAAGTGTAGATAAAGCTTGATTAAAGAACATATTTTTTTCTGTGTGCTTGGCCCGGATCTTTGGAAAACTTAGGGAACTCACTGAAAAAATGTAATGCAGGAGGCTTCAAGCTTTCACTGAAAAAATGTAATGCAGGAGGCTGCAAGCTTTCAGAGTGCTTCATATCAACAAAAATTTGACACTGGAAAACACAGAGTGGTAATGGTGAAAGACCTTCATGTGCATTCTGATAGGAAAATTACTGATCTGTTTTCTGCTCGAAGTGTACTGGCTGCTTGTCACCTTCAGTGTGCAGCACAAGTCATGCTCTTGCTTTCTTAATTTTCAAGGAAGAGGGCAGATGCATCACTTTCTTGGAAGTATGTCCATGTATTTGCATATGATGGAAAGCATGGTTTCATCTGTGCCACCTCCTATTGACATCAATCTCAAGTCCCTGCAGAAATATAAAGGGTAGATTTAAACATTTTCATGCTGTTTGATGTGCTGTGCTGGCCAGCTTGCCCAGAACTACTTATACATTGCATAGGAACACCACATGCCACTGGCTCCTGGGCAGGGGGTCTGTGGTGCTTCCCACAACGTCCCTGCTGCTCCTGTCCCAAACCTGTGGGTGCCTAAGCCTGCAGTTGAACTGTAGGAGGGGAGGGAGCTTTTCCAGGGCCAGCAGCAAAAAGCATTGCAGCACTTAAATTTGCTTAACTTTGGTAAAAGAGTCAACCAGCACATGAGGTATTGGAGAATTGCACAGAAACAGTACAATTTCCTTCCAAGGTTTTTAACCAGTCCAGGTTTTCCTAATGGCTATGTGAGATCTGGTAAAAGCCTTATTAGCATTGTATAGTACCTTAATGTTACGTAGTATAATATCACAAGTAGTGTTGTATGGTATTCTGGTGTGGTTTCATTCAATATTATAGAGCTTCTGTGCTTTACAAATTAATGGCTGCTTCAAGAATATTTATTCTTTATTTGATATTTCTAATCACACTCATTTAAAATCTGCCCTAACTATCACTAAGTCATTCCTAACAGTACTGCCTGCGTTCCCTGTGCTAGCCAGAATGCTAACTACTGCAGCCTCAAGCAATTTTACTCACAAATATTTTACCTCAGGGGAGAAGAAAAAAACATCACCAATAAAACTACCAGAACAATTCTAAACTACGTCTACTTAGTAACATGAAGATTCCCCACCTTCCTATGGGCCTTGCTGAAGGCAGCAGACCTGGAACAGTGGTACATTGCTTGTTCTTAGTGGTGTGGTGCTATCTGCTTTGTCAAGGTGCACAAAGCCCCTGCCAATGCTCAGCATTGGCATCTTCACTGTAGCAACAGCAAGTAACTAATCCTCAGAACTCCTCTGTGATGTCAATAGAAATCCTCTCTCTGCAGCAGGAATCCTGGACACATGGGGCTTGTTTATATGAAATTATAAATAGACAGTGCTAAGATCTGGCTTTGGTGGTGTGTGTGACAGACAAGTCAGGCTGTCACATATAAAGACACATCCCAAAAAAACAACACCTTTTGTATGTTTTGTGCTTGTATGTATCTCTACAAATTTGCTGATTATAATTTTGTCTCTGTGGGTGAGATAAAGAATATTTCTTACAGGATCTACAGCCAGGTGCTGATCTCTCCTATGAGGAGACAGGACAGAAGATTTCCCCCTAATGTAAATGGATTAAGATGACAAAGATACAAATTACTTTAATCCAGCAGCCCTCTTCTGAGCATGAAACTTGCTTTCGTCGTAAGAAGACAAAACCACAGGATTAACTACCCTGCCAGAAACTCTGTAAGGAAGCTGGGAAAGAGCACATAGTGAAGTCAGCTTCTATATCAGTTATTTAATGTATGCTTATAGCTTACATTTATCTTGTATCAAGAATGCATTATTAACACAGCACATAAGTATTTCAATATATATAAATATTGGAATTTGATTGCTTTTGTAACGGACATTTACAGCTACTGCTGTAAAGGCTTTTACTCTGGCAAAATAACATTTTGCTTTTGATTCCTGCATCACCGTTTTGTTGCCACATGACAGAGCAGCACATCATGAACTACCTGCAGCCCTGCTGAGGTGAGCACCAACCTACGGTGGCTTCCCCCTGACAAAGGACCATGAGGAACCAGCCTGCAGCACACAGGCAGTTTGTAAAGGTGTAATTTTGAGGGACCAAACCTCTAGCTACTTGTTGAATGTCATTGAATGCTGTTTTCTTTAGAGAGTGGGAATTAACCTGAGGAAGGACAAAAATCCAACTATTATGTTCTATCCCTCTAAAACATTCCCTGCGAAGAATTGCCTTACATTCAGGAAATCCCATGTGTCTAAAATACTCACTGTAGATTATAAGACTTCAGTCAACCAAATCAAGATATATAAATGGTAATTAATCAATTTTTTTAATGAATAAAAAAAATAATCTATGTTTTAATGAATAAAAGGAAAAAACTCTTCAATGTCACGTTAAGAACCTGCATTTAGGAGGGAGAGTGAGGAGCCATTCCCACCACCAAACTCAATCCAGGTGATTATTAACTTCTAGTTAGGTAGCAACAGGCCCTCTGCGTTGTCAAATTGTGTTTCCCATCTCCATAGAAGCCATGTCATACAGCCTTAAGAAATGTGTCAAGCATTGCTTGAAGGAGAAAAACAAGCTCCCTTTAATCTTAGACTACCCTAATTTGAAGGTTATGAGATAACAAAGTTGTTCTAATGATTAGGAACCCTCTAATTTACAGCATGAAAATGTCTTTCTGAATAGTGTCATCCAAAATAGTCTGCAGTTTAACATTCCTTTGTTGGCTGGTGTTGACCCCTCTGCACCCTCAGTGACATTTGCACCTTAGCACAAGCTAAGCTATGTCTATTACCCTGCCCCTAAAACTTTTGGTCCCAGTTTTCCTGAAAATCGGGGCTGGTCCTTATCCCAGTGAGCTCTCCCTTGTATGCGATTTCCCCAGCCATAACACGGGGACAGGTACCCATTCACAGCACAAGTAAAGTTATAGATCTTTGCATGTGCTATATGCAGCTTACAGCACATTAAATCTGTTTGTAGCTTCAAGCTGGTAAAATGTGATCGTGTTTGCAGTTGTGTCTTCCAGTACCAATTATTACCTACAGCTGAAAAGCTGGGCCTGCTCTGGGAGCTACTCTACAACTGCATTTTCCTCTGGAAAACCATATGGAATTGGATTGAAGCCCTTTCTGCTCCCAAACAACTGAGAGGAGCCTGCTGCACTATCTATGATGCAGGTGTCTTCACAAAACTTCAAACTTCCTGCCAAAATAAACTAAGAATTTTTTTTCATTTTTCTGGCAGCAATCAGTGCTGGTCAGACAGGGGGAAGAAAGTGGGTTTTGGTGTTTTAAACCCTGGTTTCCCCTAATAGCCTGGCATTATGGCAGCAGTCCTTCAAAGATGCTGCTCTCCGCTTCCCTGGTTAGAAGGCCATTGGTAAAAAACCTTACTAAGTTTTGCATGGCTCAGAGTACCACTGCTTCTTTTCAGCACAAACTGAACTTGATTACAAAACCTTTACCCTTTTTTCTCATAAGCACGATTTTAGGTTTTAACTATTTAAAGGTTTTATTACTGGTAAGAATTTCCTCCAAAAAAGGTACTGATGAACCCTCAAGCCACAATATTTTGTGACTTCTTCCATCTTCAGATTCACTAGATTACCTATAGGCTGTCCAAATTAAGCAGAATCTGAAGGAGGCTTTGTTCTAGAGAGAAGAGTTTGAGCTGGTGCCACTCAGTGCAGCAGGCATGTGACCAGGCTGGCACAGCTCACAGCTGTGCCTGCCAGTTCCCATGACCCTGTTCCTTCCCTCTCAGGGACATCCTGAAGGCCAAGATGAGGGAATGGGCATCACCTTGGCCCACTCTGAGCATAAAGCAGAGAATCAAGAACAGCTCTACTTTAAAGTCATCACTGTACAGTTACCTGCCTTGATTTGCTGTCTTAAAGGTAGATGTCATGCGCTTCATCTCCTAAATTACTTCTCAAGGTACTCATAAAAGGCAAACAAAGTGGTAGACAGGCTTCTGTCTCAAAACCTCCGCAAAAAAAGCTGGAAACTGCAGATTTTGTTTCACAGAGGACAGGAATTGGTATTAAGTCTTGTCTCAGCAGTTAGCTACAGACTTCAAAGCAAATTGGTTTTGTCAGCAGAAATGGATAGGTTTCATTTTGTTTGTACCAAACAAAATGAACTCAAGTTTAGACATGCTTTGTAAGGAACGAAGACAATAAACAATGAAATAAAAAATGAAACTGAATGAAGTATTTGAACTAACTTTTTAAACATTTGAAGGAAAAAAATCTAGACGGAAATACATTACTTATCTATCCTCAATTACAAATAGACCTTCATATTGCAATAACTACATGACAGTTGACGAGGAAAATGAAAATGTGTTTCTTCTGCAGCTATGCATTTGCAATGCTACTTACACTTCTATTTCACATGAGTGGTAAAATGCTTTTCACTACTGCTTTCTTGAGTCCTTTACAATGTAGCAAGTAAAGAAATGATGGCATTCTCCCCATCACAGCCCACAAGAGAAAAACTTGTAAGAACTGGGAGCAGTTAGACATGGTGTCCAGCAGTTAATAACAATCTCAATTAAAAATAAACGTAACAAACCAAATGCTTTTAAGAAGACCACATAAGGTCTTCCTATAACAATTGAAGTGCACATAATTACTATTAAAACATATGGATCACTACCTGAAATTTTTTAAAACTCATGAAATCTGAAAAATTGTAATAAACTTGATACTAAAAGATTTCTTTCCTCTATCTCTCATAACCCAGGTTTTTCATATAGATGATGGGTTTGTTCAATAATAGATTTTTGCTAAGTCTCAATGGCTTTAAGGCCTTTGAGACAGAGGAGAGAAAAATAAACAAGAATTACTCCAGGCTAGTGCTTTCCTTCTCCAGAATCCTGCTATTAGGGTACAGTCTGGAAAGTCAACTCTTTATGGCTTTTATATTGGCTTGTATTTTTCTATGAAACCTCTTGATATTTGGGCTCTAAGCTTTTTTTTTTTTTTTTTAACCTATTATCTTTATTAGAATCTGTACAAGTTAGACATTTACATACATAAAATCAACACAGTATAGACACCTACATGGTGAAGCAGCTCTCTTCATGCTTTCTAGAGAATAAGTGCTTAAGAAATGCCAGTTGTTCCACAAAGTTTAAAATGTTACTGATAAAAAATAAGTTGGCAAACACTTTTGTGCTGTTTCTGTTTATGATCTCTAACTGACCCTAACAACTAAAATTCAGAGATGCACTAACGATGAGTTGTGCTGTATGTTCTTTGAGGTGTGAGTAACAGCCCGATGTGTCGAAAACTAACCTACATCTCTCTGGGAATTTCATAAAGATTATGCTACGAAAATGTTTGTACATTAGGACTAGATGTCTTGCTGTGCAATTATACTGCTGCTACTGGACAAACATCACAGTGACGTGAATGGTTACTCAGACTGCTGTACTAAAAGGAACGGCTTTAGGGAAGTTGCTGCTTTGCTTATTGTTACAGATTAGCAAGATTCTATCTTGAACGTGTAATCGTTTATTTAGGTAAAACTCTCCTTGTCCCTTCCTGGACCTTTGGTTACTCAATGGTGGAATTTTACTGATTCATAAAAAATTTCAGAGTATAAATATCACACTGCCTTTAGCCTCATTTACGACAGTGTTTGTTTTAGAGGTAGAAAGATATATTTCTTTAGCCAGCTGGCTGTGCACACCAACAGGAAACACTCTGAATTTCTTCTAAGGAAAAATGTGACTGTGCTGGTATACTTGGAAACCACTCTGAAATCCACACAGAAAAGAAAGCCCTGCTCACAGTTAGCACTACTATACTGGGCTAGGAAATCTTAAACAAAGCTATGTAAAAGCATGTATGCATTAATCTGTACAGACTACATAATTTACAGTAAGTGCTGCAAAGACAGGGATTCATTTTATTCAGAGTGCCTACTGCAGTAGCTCTCAATATCTCCACCACCAGTGACTATTAGTTGTTTAAATAAGGCTGTGAAAAAAATAACTAAGGAAAACCATCATATTGACAGCTGGCTTAAAACCACCACCATAAAGCAGTCTGTACCTTCATAATAAAAATTTCAGGAGTCCACTTGTCAAAAATATTGAGGATCTCTTGGCTTACTGCAACGGCATTCTTATTCATAAAATGCTATTAAAAATAGAAAAAGTAACTCAACCTACCTATCAAGAAACGAGATTTTTGCAGGTTTTCTCAAGTGTTCTGCTCTCACTTTACACAGACACATTTACCAAAACTTTCAACTAGCTGAACCACTGATCTGGCTAACTTTGGATAAGGTACTGCCTATGTAACAGCTGAACAGAAAACTGTTATTCCAAATGAATCTAAGGTCAATTTTGGTCCTTCTACAGAATGTAACACACTGAAGCCAGATACCAAGAAAAATGTTTCCTTAAGGAGAATTTTGCTCTACGTAGATAGATACTAAAATTTGAAGGGACTTCAATTAATTTGCAAAAAGGCTTCTGTACCATTTAATGATCTAACAATTTTCTGGAAGCAATTACATCTCTTGTATGTCTCACAGGGTATCTAGTGTGACTTAATTGGGCGGAGACTGCTGTCAGAACAGACTACTGCAGAAACCAAGTGGGGAACTCCAGTTTCACACATAGCCGGGGAAAAGATAAAGATGATTTTCATTCATTTTAGAAGATAGCTTTACAAGAAGTTTTATTCCTGTTCTTGTAATCAAGATTACAAGCACAAAAAGCAAAGAGAAAACAGTCACTGGTTGGTAGCTCTCAATTCCCCCCCTCTTTTTTCTACTCTGTGGCAGATACCAGAGGACCATCATGGAAAATACTGAGTTTTCCTCTTTCATTTGACATTTAAGCTAACCTGTGGGCAGTTCAAACTTCACAACTATAACGCAAAGCCAAAATTTGACAAAAGACTAGCAAGTTCTGACACATGTCTACCTAAAGTTAGTTGCACTGGATGTCCTTGCATCCACAACCCACTTCAATGACATGCTATGAAGCGGAACAAGACTATTCACACTGGTGAGAATCTTTTCAAGTAGGTGATTGTTTAACAGGACATTTAAAAGGCTAAATTTCAGTTAAAGACACTTTGTATTTTCATCACTCCCTTACCTGTAAAACCTACTCACGAGAACTTCATTGGTGAATCCCATTCCTCCCCAAAACTGGAGACAGCTGTCAGTCACTTCACGGGTCAGACGACCTGCCTTTAGCTTAGCCATGGAAGCAAATTTTGTCACATCATTGCCTTCTACATAGAGAGCTAATAAAAAAAGAAGATATAAAAAAGCAGTCACTCTGGAAGTCCCTTCTCCATGTTCCTTTAGCCTGACCAAGGGTATTTGCACGAAGAGAAGCACATCTGGGAAGCAGATGTGGGAGCTCACCCACGGCGCGGTGCAGCAGCGAGCGCAGGAGCTCCACCTCGGTTGCCAGCTCGGCCAGGCGGAAGTGCACAGTTTGGTTGTGCAGGACAGGCTGGCCAAACACCTTCCGCTGCCCTGTGTAGTCAATAGTTTCTTGTATAATAGTTTCCATTGGTGTCAGGGCTGGAGAAACAAAGCACAGAACAAGATATCATTTTAGCCAGATCTGTTTAGCTTCTTGTTGAAAAAGAAGGTTTTTTCACACTGTACAACCAACACTTTAAGTTTTTTAAAAGAAATGGTTCTGTACACTCAGTTTAGGGTGAAGCTTCAATTCTGAGAAAAGTATGGGACTTCCTTGTACCTTGAAGCCTTCTGTCTCACTTGAGCCCTAAGCTGCCAAAACCTGGAAGAGAGGGAAGAGAAATGGGTAGGAAAGGAGAGCATAGAAAGCAGTACCAACATGATGAGGTAAACTTTATGCTTAGTGTCTCATTTAGGGCCCTAGCAAAAGCTTCTGGCAACTCCTACTTCTCATGCTACCTGTGCCCTGAAGGTTTTTTAAAATCCTGGAAAAAAATCTGAAGGCTGACAGTGTAGTGTGCTTGGTGAGGAAGGCTGCAGAAATATAAATTGAAGGAAGCCTTCAGAGAGAAGGCAGAAACCTGTTCTAAGATCAAGGAACACAAACAGACTGCTTATTACATCTGCATTCTGTGATCCCAGCATAGAGAAGAAAAAAATCATATCCACTTGAAAAAAAACCCATTAAATAATTCTCCTAATGGAAACAGAATGAAAACAGGATACTGCTGTAAAACATGTGAGAAGGGCAGCAGACGATGCTTTCAAGCAGAACTAGTTTGCTGCTGCTTTTTGTGCAAACTGAGACATATATCATTTTAAACAAGAAAAAAAGGGAAAAGTTTCTCTTCCGAGGCAAACCAGCCTTGAAGTGAATGACTAAGCTATCAGTCTCTTGCAGTGTAGCTGGGATAACAGCTGATACAGAATGTGTGGAGAATTTTGTTTGACAAATATGGACTCATGTTATTATGAAAAGCAGCAGGGCATGATTTCATAAATCTATATGTATGAGAAGGGTCACACTTTCTCTTTTCAAAATATGCATACCCACATCCATTTGCATTTAAAGTCTAAGCCACAAAACTCTGAATATGAAATTCAAAATAAACCCAAGCCTTGGACTAGTATGAAATCCCTTTTCCTGCCTGCCAGTTACTCACATGATAGACCCTTGCAGGTGCCTGGTGTGGTTCCATGTACCTTTTTGCTTTGTTTTCAAGATCACTGCTATTTAAATTTAATCTCTGTACTGCTCTCCTGTGTAGACTCTGCATCCCACTAATATCCCCTGCCATGACCATTCACCATCACTTCCACAGAGCACCACTTTTCACATGATGTCTCCACATTCCATAGGGTGATCAACTTTTCTCACTACCTAAATATTTTCCCCTCCTTTCTCATACAACTAACAATGCTTATTTTTCAGAAGAGCATATACAGTAATATCCTCATTTATTTTGTGTTAACACACTATGCTGTCACCCAAATTCTGGCTTTTTGGATAGGAAAATAATTTTCTCTTTTCAGAAACATCTCTTGGATAGAAATAATGTCCTTCCAAAGGACAATGTCACACAACACTGTAGCATGTATAGCAGTTACTTTTTTACTTGCATGTCTATGGTCTCCAGCTTGAGAAGTGTAAAGAAAGACAAAGGAGTATCCAGGCACCACTTGTCCCTTTCCCTCTGACTGAAATCTAGGAAGAATACCGAAAAGTCTGAGCTGCTGGGTGGGAAACTAAACAGTACATGCCAGTGCTAGGAGAACAGAAGGGAGGTAGAAGGGATAAAGATGAGGGATTAATCTTGTGTTGGTCTGTCAGTGCAAGGTGCTCCAGCACAGCTTGTGTGGCTCCCAGCATCCAGCACAAGGGAAAGAGGGATAGGAACAGCAAAGAGGAGGCAAGAGCAAGATCAGGTGGGAAGAAACAGGACAGAAACTGTGCAGGTCCTGCTTGAAAAAGGTCTAAAGATCATGAAGGGACTTTAGCCAGACTCTGCTCAGGCTGTCACCACACATCATGGCTCAGACTGGGGTTCTGGGAAAACTGCTCTCATACTGTGTCCACCTCTCCAATTCACTGCCACCTTCCTGCCCTTGCTGATCCATCCTCCTATTTCCTTTGCTGCCATTACTGCCCTTCTTCTTATTTCAGGAACTATTATTTGCACACAGAAACAAACAGAGGAAATCTAAGGACTGTCCTGGGCTGTTTCAAAAGAGGATGTCAGGTCAAGGGTCATGATTCTCTCCATCTACTCTGTTCTGCCAAGACCCCATCTGGAATACTGCATCCAGCTCTGGAGCCCACAGCACAAAACAGCCGTTGATCTGTTGCACTGGGTCCAGAGGAGGGTCCTGAAGAAGATTAAAGGGCTGGAGCACCTCTCCCATGAGGACAGGCTAAGAGTGTTGGGGTTGTTCAGCCTAGAGCACTGCAGGCTCTGGGGAAGCCTTGTTGCAGCCTTTTGGTATATAAAGGGAGCTTGTAAGAAAGATGGGAACAGAGTTTTTACCAGATCCTGTAGTATCAGGACAAGAGGAACTGGTTTTAAATTGAAAGAATGTAGATTTAGAGAGAACAAAAGGAAGAATGTTTTGGAACTGGAACTACATGATCTTTAGGGTCCCTTCCAACCCAAACCATTCTACTGGTCTTATGATTTTAAGAAATTCCTGATGAGAGTGGTGAGACACTGGAACATGTTGCCCAGAGAAGTTGTGGGTGCCCCAAGACAAATCCATTCCCTGGACATGTTCAAGGCCAGGATGGATAGGCTTTGAGCAACCTGGTTTAGTGAAATATGTCCCTGCCCATGGTGGAGGGGTTGGATGTGATGAACATTAAAGGTCCCTTCCCAAACCATTCTGTGATGCTGATGACAGGTACTCAGAGCTCTGAGCACAGCTCTAACATGGCAAAGCTTGGCTGTGTAACAAACAGCACTAAAATGCAGCACATCATGAATACCATGATAGCCAACAGCCGTGTTCAACAAGATAAAAGCACACAACAATTTGCCAGTCATATGAGTTCAGAGAAATGCCATTCATATAGGGAACAACCCTCTTTTTCTGTGGATTTGTTTCCTTTTCTTATACAATGCTCCCCACATCCTCAGACAAACTTAGCCCCATGGGTTTCAACTGACAGCACATGCAGGAAATGCCACTCTAGGGCAGCCTAAGGAATGCATGGCCTACCACACAGCTGAGAATTGTGAAAGCACTTGAAGTTGTCAAATGCAGAATAATCTTTTCCTCGTATCTCCATCCAACTTATATTATTCCACTTGAAATTTCTTCTCACTGTAAAGACACTTTGTCTTGTTGCTGTTTCCTCTCAAAAGAAAAGGAATTAATATATTTTTCTTAGGTTGTGACTGATCACTCTCTAATGAAATGTACAGTGAGCTCTAAGCTGAGCAATCTGATTCTTAAGGATGTGTGTTGCCCATGCAAAAGGATCTGTCATCCGTTTACTGGCTGTGACTCAATGGTGCTCATAAAAGTGAAGTTGCAGGAGCAAATAGATGTCATTAGAAAAGTGCCATTCTGCTCTCACATGAACACTGAATTCCCTCTTTGTCTCTGAGCTAAGCAATTCACAACACAACTGTTTGCTTTTTTTGCCATAGCAACATTATTTTCCTGTGATCAGTGCAACAGGCCCTCAAAGTGTTTACCAAGTGTCACAACACAGGAGACACGTGGCACCTTTTTTCTTTCAATGAAGCAAGAAACCCAGTGACTTTGACCAATGCCTTTGATGATATGTCACTCAGAAGAAGAGACCACACCTAGGAGCAAATTTTGCAATTCCAGGAAGCTACTTTTCCATTTGTATTTCAAACCTGTTTGACTGCAAATAGATTTTAAAAGAAAAAAGAAAACAAGTGAAGAAAGATACTGGCCACAAAGGACATAATTAATAAACAAAAAGAAGTCTAGAGCATGTGATACTTTAAACTAAAAATACATAAACCCCCCCACCAAACAAAGAGAAACAGAACAAAAAACCCCCAAACACAAAAATATAACACCCAGAAAGGAAAACCAGACAAGAATGGCAGTCACCTGCCTTTTCCAAGTTAAAGGAAGCAGTGAAAGTGAGGAACCCAGGATTGGTCCCTAAAGTATTTAAAAGCAGACTATGATTTTCAGTGTCACAGTGTCACACACTGGGAAGGAACAGAAATGTTCTATTGAGGGGCAGAAGTGAAAACCAGAATTAAACATGCCGACTTAATCCCCAAACTACTGAAGGCACTTAGTTTCACATATCTGAGCCTTCACCTGAGCAGTCATGGTTGAACATATGCAAAACTATTTGCATTAACTCCTCTAGACGCTGTGATACAACAAACTGAACCCATCGAGTACTGGGCTCCCTTCTGAACACTGGTTTACAATTGGAGATCTCTGAAATTTGCAGCTTGCCCCAAACCATGGGTCTTGTCCCTGCTGCCAGTGCTTTTATTTTATATCAGATAGTTGAAAAAAGCAAACCCAAGAGGTCCAGCAAGGTTTACACAGTAGCCACTGCAGAAGGCTGTGCTCTGTCCTTGGTGAGCTCCTAGACTCTTCCTGCCTGCTGTCCCCTGCCTGGCCATAGCAGGCAAGGAGAAATGCTGCTTACCCAGGGCAAGCATTCACCTGCTCCTGCTGCGTTGTTTTGGACAAAAAAATGAGTTGAAACCTGGCGTTCCAGTTCCTGGAAGAGCACAGCGACAGCCAGGCAGTTGTGCAAGACTGGAGAGTACCAAGCTGCCCGTGGTTTGGGAGGAGTGATCTATCCTGCCGGGCTTTGTGCAGTGATGCTGTCAGTGCGCGTCACTTTCGCCGGGGGCATGACTAATGCTGCCGGCTACTCTGCTGCCTGGGGAGTCTCACTGCGGCCCAGAGCTTCTTATGGTCTGTTCAATTTAGACTTCAAACTGAGCATAAAAATGTACAACGCACATCCTTGCAGTCTGTATACACCTCAGTTAAAGCAGAAGCTGCGGTAGGATCACAACTCCTGCTTGCCTGAGTCTGCAGTGACATCCTTGGCAAGTGTAACCTCCTGTCCTTTGCTAAAACTACTCTCATATGTACTATTTATCTCAAGCTGAGCTAAGAACCTTTGTCTCAATAAACGGTTTTTTTTAAAAGGCATTTGAACTCCAAAATATTTGGTCTGGGATGAACCCAAAGCAGTGAGTGGTTTTTTTATTTGTTCACTGAATCAAAACACCACTTCTTAGAATGCTCAATTCCCCAGCCACACACACAGACAGTGAAAGACAGGGAATGCACAGGAGCATGAATACAGTGACATTACTTAGACAACCCTGGAATCTAAAGAGGACCAATCTTCTTACAGTGAACCACATTATATTTAACTTGAAGAACCAAACACTGAGTGGTAGGGAGAAAGTTTGCAGGCTGAAAGTAGACAATTCAGACTTGGATCTGGTTTCCTGGAATATCCAGAATCCATATAACCCAAATACATGGATTTGAGTATAGCCTGAGTTCTGAGTAACATAAATTCTGTGACGATATAACTTCAGGGAAATGAATGTATCACTTATGTCCAGACGTAAAACATGTGCAAAACAAAGCTCTGACATCCTGCACGGGCCAGTTAACTTTACGCAGCCAATAAGTTAATTTTCTAAAATCCATGATCAGCATAATAATGCACTGTACTACAGGAAAGTCAGCATCCTTCTATTTCATGCTGATATTTTGATAGCCTTTGCACTATATTTGTAATAGACATAACATGATGCCATATTTTCTTATCAGCAGAGTAGCACCAAGAAAAAGAAACAAGGCAAAAAGAGCCTTGAAATGGCTCACAAAATATTTTCTGCTTCAGGTTTTTCTACAGAAAAAGGAATTTTTCTAGAGAAAGGGAATATCATCTGTATCCAGACTATGACGGATTTAAAAAACAGATCCTAAAAGGTCATTGCAACTTACAAGAAAAGAAAAGTGCTGTTAGTGATGCAAACAGTGACCCCTGTGTCTCTGCCTGGCTGCAGAAGCACGAAGGATGACTTACCAGTGGCTACTCCCCACAGCCGCTCTTCTTGGAATTGCAACATCTGGTATGTAAAACCCTTTCCTTCCTCACCGATGAGGTTCTTGCAGGGGACTCTTACATCTTCAAAAAAGATCTGAGCTGTGTCCGATGACCTCATACCTAGTTTGTCTATCTTTTTAGCAACATGAATGCCTGAAGAGAAAGGTGTATGAGAAAGGCCACAAAAAATAGAAGCACTATGAATAACACACTGTTTTCAGAAAGAAAAGTATGCAGATGTGAATGTATGTTCCAAGACAACAGTGAAACCTACCTTTAGGAAAAACATAATAGTATTCTGGAGTAAAGTGGCCCAAATCCTATTTTAAAAGGGTTTTCTACTTTACTAAACCAGCAAATGAGAAACTTTTCATTATGTCCCCAGATAATTAATATTTACTAGTCATAATAATCTGGCTCCACACAGATCTTCAAACAATGCAATATTTATTTGTTTATGTTTGATTTTTATTTAGCATTATAATAAAGTGCTGAAATTCAATTTGGCAATATTTGCCAAGTGCCTGCACTGCTATGAAACAGTACACAAATATTCAGTAAGGACAAAAACAGAGCTGTATTTTAAGCAGCTTCTAAGCATATTTCTCCTTGAAATCATCTTCCTTCCCTCTCTTCTTCATTTATCCTCCCCTTCCTAGCTTATGCTGTTTTTTTCTGGCACAGTGATCACTCTGAGTTTTCATGTGTGTATGTTTGTGAGGAGGGTTTGCTTCTCCACAGACCTCTCTAGACAGCACTGACTCTGACCCCACGTGCATTGGTCTGTTGAAGATGAACCTGGTTCATTCAGGTCTGGCCACATGCGGGTTCAGCTACCTGAACCCTCAGGAAGGGCAGGACTCCTTCCTGTTGTTTGTTTTTTCATAGCTACAAGTTCTTCCTTGCTGTTGCTCACATGCAAGCATAGTTTACCCCTGTGCCATGAGGGTTTAACAGGCATCCACTGTTTTCTCGTGGCATTTCTCCTGTCTTCAGCTTTTATCTCCCTGTTGATATGCAGCTACTTCAAATATTCAGGGTGAAAGTCAAGAACGTTTCAAAAGTAAAAGGAGGACAACAACCAGACATAAGGATTTGTGCATAACAAGGTAATTACATCTGACAAGTCTTTATGTGTAGCAAAACAGTCCTCCAGCTCAGCATATGTATCTTTGCCAGAAAACCAAAGCTTTTTACTACTCACGTACATGTTATTCCAACCAGCTTTGTGATGAGGAGGTATTCTGTTGTTATTTTCCTCTTTATTCTTTTTCAGTCCTCTACTACTCTCTGGCATGGCTCAGTAGAAGCTGGTTGGTCACCACAGATTGTTCTGGTCCTTCTGTACTTGTTTGTATCTTGCTATTCTTCACAGCTTTTAGAAAACAGCTCTTTCTGAACTAATACTAACATCTCACCCTTTACTGACAGGAGGCCTTCAGACATATGAAAACTACTTTGGTTTTGTAGGCAGAAGAAGTTGGCAGCCATTTCCTTCAAATTTATTCTCTCTGGCTGCACTAAATAAGTTATGGAAATTTTCATCTCTTCACAGAGATGAAATACTGACAGTATTTACAAATGCCAAGACTTCTCTGAGAACAATATTCACACAGACTTCCACAAGTTCCACTCAAGACTTTTTCTCCACCAACCAATCTGTAACCAGATTATGTATTAGGAAGACTTGCTTTGATATATGATCAATGTAGGAATAAAATCAGGACAGAGGTATAAAAATTCTTGACCTTTGAATTGAAAATTATCCAGCAATTTGTACTCAGTCAGCCAAAAAAACATTTGTGGTTTGTTTCCATATTAAAAACACAGCTAAACAACCATGCACTGGGAAACTTAGAAGCCCAGATGAAATCTGGAACATTGTTTCCCATTGGAATACTGCTATTTGGTTTCCTTGTGAGTTGCAGAGATCATGTATGGTCTAAAGCCAACTGGCTTTATGTAATCACTGCTCCTCACCCACATGAAGATGCACTTACTGCTCTTGCTAGTGGGTGGTTTAAAAGGACTCTTCTCAAGAAAGCACAACTGCTGCCAGTTCATTATTATATTGCTAAATCAATCCTGTTGTTGACTTCCCAGATCCACATACAGCAACCACTATTGAAGAAAGCTCTTACAGGCTTGGTTAGTGAGCTAAATGTGCTGGTAATTTCTACCAGTAATTCTTGCAGACTGGGTTGAGTGTTCAATTTTCCTGGGTCCAGCAGCATCCCACTTTGTCATGCCCTACCAGCTTCACTTGGTTCTCACCCACAAGGAGACCAAGCTGCACCAGTCTCTTCTGAGGCTAGCACATGCTTTACATCGTGGAAGACAATCATACATAATCATCCCTTTGGCCACTATGGGGGCATCAAAATCTCCCTTCATGTAATTATCTTCCTTCTCTTTCTAAGGGGTACTACAAATGAAAAATGACCAGCAGCGGTAGAAATTACTGGTCCAGATAACTCCTGGTGTTCATCTGTATTAAATAAATGATGCACAATAACTCACAAATCTGAATTTAATAAGGCTAAGCGCCTGACTTACCAAAATCACTCCAACACACATTTGATCTACTTGAACCAGTATCATTGAGACGGATTGCTATTTCTCTGCCTGGGCAGTTCTTCCCAAGTGTCTTTGATTTTTCATTTTCTCCCATTCCTCCAGCCTTCTGACAATCTCTTTTATTTCCTGTATTCTATCTTGAGAGAAAGGCAGTTGCTGTCTCCTGACACCATTTAGTGCCATTACAAATGGAAACAGACACACTTTAAATTGCAATCCAAGAAACACGCTCTTTCTCTTTTCATGGTTGCTCTACTCCTTATTAACTCCTCCTTGCAGTCTCCCCTAGAGCTGTCTGAGGACTCAGAGGACAAACCAGAGGACAAAACAGTTACCATATCAGGGCTGCAAGCCATTTGTCTATATACTTTACACACAGACATTTTTCAATTTACTTGATTCTCTTTCATTATATGAAAAATTCAGCTGTTTTTTTAAGACATTGTTATTGTATGAGAAGTATTCACCTAATTTGGATATCTATTGTGGAACCATGGTGCTGTTATCCAAACTTCCTTTATGAGAGATGCATTCAGCAGTGTCTGTGAAATCTAGACCATGATTTACTTCAGCCCAGATTAGAGTGTATATATACCTAAAATTAGAAGAAGAAAATCCTACCTTGTCTATCCAATTGCTGAATTTAATTCAATTGTTAAATTAATAATTAATTTTCAGACTTGGAATCTTTTTCTCTCTCTTTTTTCCCCACCACACTATATAAATACAAAAAAACCTTAGATTTTTAGCAAAAATACACCACATATCCTTCCTTACCCAGCCATAGAGGCTGGTGCCTGCAGAGCTGAGTCAGATACAACACATTTGCTCTCCATTGCAGTTGTTTTTGAGCTTTGACACACAAATATCCACAGGCATTTGAGAGTGCATCATTCTGTGATGTCCTCCAGACGCTTCCTGTACAGCCTTGGTCTGCTGCCCTCCATGGAGCACAATCTTTAGCAGACAGACATCCTTAGGATGTATCAAGCCAGATGAGCTTCCTAAAAAATCTCACTTCTGATATGACTCACCCACAGAGCACAATCAACAGTCTTAATACTTCATTTCAAGAGGTCGCCAGTCTTGGTACTGTGACCCCTTTGGAGATAAATATGTACATCATCACAAAAGAATTAAAACACATGCATTTTGAGGAGTGCAAATTTTCCTCCTAGGAAGACTTCTACACTTCTGTAGATCAGAATAAGGTGTCTCAGATAATTTTTCTGCTCTACATCTATTTAATGCAGGTAAAGAAGGTCTGTGTGTAGGCTGTGAGATCTGACATCTCCCCTCTCCTAGAGCTATGACAACTCCTGTCTTTTTGGAATAAGCCAAGTAGCTGAAAACCTCTAAGTCAATTTCTGTGTATTTTATCTGCCACTAACTCTGGGTCAGCTGCTTTGTTATTTTAGGAAGATTGATCTCAGAGAAGAAGTACTGCATTTGCATTCTGACCCTTCCATGAAAAATCACAAGAAGAACTTCATTTATTTATCAGCAGATGGCTGATAAGTGAATTTACCTGGAAATTCAGAGCAATTCTGGCTGCAAGTTACATGTTTGCTCATCACTTCTCAATAAGAATAAAGTTCACAACTAGTGAAGAAGCTCAGGTCTGTCTTCCATGAGCTCCCATTCAAAGCTTCTCTTGCATGAGAAGAGGTTCACTCAGTTCACTCAGAATCTGCTTGATTCCCAAGACAACTCACTTGCTTGACTTACTCCATGCTTAAATTCACTTAAAAGACATTCCCTTAAGAAGCCCTCATCATCCTCTTTTGCAACACTGGAGACCTGGGTTTTGTTCTAATCCATTAAGTGAACATAGAGACATTCACTTCACTGGTATGGTGGTGTCCCTACATGTGAAATGCCACTAATGGCACATACTTTGTGTAAAATACTCTGAATTGAATGAACAAAAGAGCCCTGAGTATAAATATCTTATATATAAATATATTAATATACATTATTCTAGATTTAATAACTATTAAATTGTATTAAATGGTGTATTTGCATAAAAGAAACATTAATTAAAAATAAATATTAAATATACTATATATTATAGTGCATAAATTAATACAATGCATATTTTTAAACATTAAAATGAGTCAAAACTGAAAAGGTTTAATAACTTTTGAACAGGTGTCAGAACTGCAAAAGATCCCCACCAGCACAATCTTAACTGCTTCCTCTTTGGATGACCTTTATGCATACAGCACTTGTGTATTCTGCAAGGTCTGAAGATTGCTCAGGAACAGACACTGTGTGGATGTACCACTGAAACTGGTAGACTTAACTCAGGAAGTATTTCTTCCATGTCCTCACCTGAATTGCTAGTCTTTTTCAAAACCAAATCCTTGTTTCCAGGATATTTGAATCTTTCACTCCAGCCCAAAATGAATTCTTAGACTATTTTTATAATTTAACTGGTAATAGTGCCCTGGTGAAACGATCCCTTTGCACAGCACAGTCATGAAACATTCTGAACATGCCTGCAATTCTCTTCAGCAAGCCCATCAGGCTTGAGAGGTATTTCCCAAGTTTGAAATCTCTAAACTCTTTATCATTTTACTTTCATATGGTTATGAATCAGTGCCATGAAAATGTATCTGAACAACTCCTCTAAATATATTTTTGGTTAAACACCTTTCCTTCTTGTATTAGGCATATAAAAAACACCAATAAAATCAAAAGAGAAGACAAAGAGTTTTGTGTTATTACCAGGTAGATTCATTGGCAGACATATGAGAGACTTATTTTGATGGGGAGGTCCTTTGCTGGTATTTGCCAGGAGGCACATCCAGTCTGCCTGGCTCCCAGATGTAATCCACATCTTACCACCATTTATGACATATTCATCGCCCTTTCTCACAGCCGTTGTCTTGATATCTATTTCAAAACACAGGAAATGAAGGGTTATTCTTGTGAAGGAGAGGTATATTGGTCCAGATATGACTGGCAGGGTCACTGCCTTGCTCTCAGACAGAAAACTATTTGCTTCTCCCTCATACTCCCCTATCCTATAACCCTTCTAGGACATAAGGCAAAACAGACTGGAAAACTTTTGGAAGGCAAGCCAGGGAAACAGGACCACTTCTCCTATATTCCTTTAAGAAGCATTTCACTGTGAGGTGATCTATTAGAGTTTCACTTGCTGTATACCTTAGTCCTGAGGAGGCCATTAATTCCAGAGTCATGACTTTAACAAACACAAGCCTCGGTATCTGTGAATGCATAAACATAAACCAACATGCACTTCCTGCATGCTCTTGGTCACCGTGCTGCACTACGTTCAAAGCTGCTAAACTACTGAAGGCCAAGTCTTGCAATGAGTGTCTGGACATGAAGGAGTTCTAAACACCTGCTATTTATACACTCTGGCAAAAAACAATCTTATTTTCATCTGCAACGGTTCACATCATGCTGCAAACAGTCCTAAGCTGCAACAGCCAGCCAGAAAGAATTATTATTTATCCTCCAGCAGAGTTTCCAAAGGGCTCCCTTCTTTTCCCTGCAGTCGAACTTCTCTGACAAGAACCCCAGCTGATGAGGACTCTCCAACAGTATGCGATGGTATAAGAGAACCCAACCACTCCCAATAGCACCTGTGAATCTAACAAGGCTATGAAATCCATAAGAGATCATGCACTGAAGGGGGATCATACAGGGGAGAGATCCATAGATCTTGGAGAGTAGGAGTCAGACAAGAAATGGAGTGGGCAGGCATGTTTAAGTAATCTGGTTACACTTTCATACACAATCACTTCAGTCTGCACATGCATGTTCTTCCCCAGGGCTCTAAACATAAACCAAAAGCAGACCCAAGTATCCGATCTTCATTTAGGAGATAAACTGGAACTGAGGTCAGCATGGCTGAAAATTTCTCTTATTAATGAAGGCACAGGAGAAAAATGATGGGAGAAAATTATATAAGGTATAAAATAAGGAAGTATGGGATATAGCTATGGCTAAAAGAATGTAAGCAAGGGAAAGATATTGTAATCATGTAGATAAAACCAGCAGACATAGAGGAATTCACTCAATAAAAAGACTGTGGCGAATCTGTCCAAGGGACTCAATATGAAATCTGTATAATAATGAATGCCAAGATGCTTAAGTAATCTAAAGTACTGGCACTCATAGTACATGGACACAGACACTGGACACTCATATAACGGAGACTAAATAATAAATGAAGGACACAAAGCTGGAATAAGAAATACGACTGTACTGAAGTGGTAGGATGGGAGCATACACAGTGATTTACATCACACATCCCTTTGTTATGGAACAGCTACTGAAGACATTAGATAGAAGTCCCATAGAAGGTCTGCAAAGGAACAATGAGCACTGTGATGTTACCACAAATGTAAATAGTTCTTGCAGGCATGGCGTCACAGGGGCTTAACCACCCAAATACAGATTAAAGAATAAATGCCTTTCTAATGAGAATGTTCAAGTACTCCAGATTCAACTGTTCACAGTTTACTTCAAACACTTGAGAAACAACTATTTTATATGATCTTGTGAAGAATTGATTCTCTTTAATTAGAGATGATTAATAAAGATGATCAAATAAATATGTAATATATAATATGTTTAAAATATAGCAGGCTTTGAAAACGTACTTAACAATTCACTATGGTCAAGTAGACCCAGGAATATAGCTATGAAGATAATTTGGAATATTTCGCTAATTATTTTCCCTGACAGAGCATATCTCTGGGAAAAGGCTACTTCAGTGGGTGCTCCATAACTCATTTTTGCAGGCACATGCCACTGACTCTTACAACCACCATTCTCTGAGAAGCCCTTCTAGGGAAGAGCACAAGGCATCACCAGAGGTGAATGATACAGCTGATGCCATACAAGCAGCCAGGGCTGGTCACATCACTGTTCAAATCACACCTACTCAATTTTTTTCTCCACTGCACTCGAGTCCAGCCAGACCCTTAAATAGATTTGACTAAAGGTAAGGTTGACTTCACCTTCTAAGGTCAGTATTACAGTCAGAGATAAGAAACACACATCCTTAAAGTAAAATATGATAAACACATATCTGAAATTTACATCATCAGCACAGGAAAAAAAGACAACCCAAAACTTTAAAGAAATACATTCATGTCTAACAATGAATAATCACTTCAAAAATCAGGAAATGACTTGTAGGAAATGAACAAGATTAATCATGAAAGTAAGCTATAATTTGGAGATTAGAATATAAGTACTGCAGCAGGTTGAACTAAGTTAAATGTTAAAGATGAAAACCAACAAAATAAAAGAAGATTGTGGTAGCAAACAAAACTGTTTCAACCACAGAAATGAAAAGAGGATAGGTAAAAAAATAAGGCATATAGAGGATACTTTAAAAAATATTTCACAATAGATTACAGACAGATTCACAATTTGGTTGAAAAAGCAAAACAAGAAAGACTGTATAGAAACTAAAATTAGTGAAAAAAAAGAGGTTGCTGGTTTTGGCAATCTGCACAACCTCAAAATACTTTTGGAAATTAAAAAAAAAAATTCAATTTACCCATGGTATCTTATTTAAACCCAACCTGATTTATTATGAAATAGGCTTTTCTAGAGAAAAATCCTATTGGACCCAAGCAAGTGAAATTAACACTACTGGGTAATTGTGAGTTAAAATTTGAAAATATAAGAATTAGGACAAAAGTGGAAATGTGCATATGGAACTTGGCAAAGCAGAAATTGCATCAGGTTACATAAAAAGAAGAAATTCTGATGTACAGAGAGAATGTATATCAGAATGTACAGTGAATGATGTATGAGTTAAGTCCCTCCTTGGATATCAACCTCTGGACAAAACCTACTGAATATTTGCATTAATGATCTTTAAAAGGATAGGAATACACTAATTAAATTTGTCTGTTATACAAACCTGGGAGACATCACCAACTCAGACAACTGAAGTATGGCCCAGCAAGAAAATAATTATCTCGAGTTTTCAAATTCAACATGGCAAGGACAAGCACTCAGACACAAAGCAGTAAAAGTGATTGCTAAGTCCTGCAATGTTTCAATAGCAAACTGGTAATGAGGATGATCCACAGTTAATCACAGGATTCACAAGTCTGCAAGCTGTTGTGTAACATCATGTATTAGAGTGTAATACTTTTACCAGGGTTGGAAATGTATTTGTGCCATTATAGACACCATGTGAAATTCTGGGGTTTCATGCTCAGAAAAGACAACCTCAATCCAGAAAAGCAGAAAGGCTGGATTCCACTGAGACAAAATGGAGAAAGATATTTATGTTTAAGAGGTAGACATGAACAGAGTTACTAGCTGCAGATACCTGAACACACCCTGAAGCTAGAGGATGTGTGTGAGAAAAGTGTTTTCCATGATGTGATCTTATATATACCCACAGACTACAGTCTATAAATTGTGGAATAGGAGTGAGATAGAATGAGACAATATAATTCAAATTTACACAAATGTTTATGCTGTGTAATACCAGAATCCTGAAATTAACGACACATTCTGTACCATCTGTTCTGTTCTGTTTTTTCTTCTCAAGCCAACTCTGTGCTAGTTTGGGTTCACGTGGTCACTACTATGGACAATATAGAAAAACCACACTTGAAAATAGACAGATGTTTCTTCAAATTGACATGAATTTTGTATTAGACTAATATACACAGTCCTTTTTGTTACATTGAATTCTGAATAAATTAGTTTGAGGCACACTTCAGTCCTCATGTAAACATTTTTTTTGTTTTCTGTGTTCATATCACCTTCAGCAATTTTGGAACTGCAGGAAAAAATGTTAGAGATACCTTATTCTGTGTCATTCTTCAGTTTAAAATATACTGACTCACATGGCAGAAGCACGTCCCCAACCTTCACTCGTGAACAGCTGCTCTGCCCCTTCACTTCTCTTAGGGAGACAAACATCCCAATAGCATCAGTAACAAAAGGAAGCATCAAGTGCAGTTTCACACACCTCAGTCTGTTTACAGCTGGGCCATCTGGAGATGCAGAATGGTGCAACTCAGAACACGAGCTACTGTTGCTCATACCTAACTTGTCCATTTAATTGCCCTTCAGAAGCACTGTAAGCTGGATTTGGCATTTGTATCACAGATCAAATCTTCCAGGAGGGGGAAAAAATACTTTCATTTCATCCTGCAGTGTGTCTCCAAGCTGCAGCATAGGTTCAGTAGATAACCCTCTTTGATTCCAAATTAGTTTTTAACTGCATTCATCTAAGTGTATCACACCACTTTAACTAGATGATAAACAAGATGCTGTTGAAGGAATATTTATGTTACTTATTAACTAGAACACTGCATCCAAAAAAAATTAAATTCCTATTAAGAATTTTCTGATAATTTTCCTAATTAAACTAGAGAGGCACTTATTAAAATAAATGATGTATTTATTACATTAGTAAAATTCAAATTTATAATTACTTTAATAAATAAATTAAGTGCTATTATGAGATTTATTATTTAAATCTTATTAATATTTAAATTATAACAAGCAATAATGTAGTTTAAATTATATTGAAATTTAATCTTTTTACATTTATTACTCATAACAATTAGGTATTATTAATAAGTAGTCTTTAATAAACAAGTCTACTAAAATTATGGAATTTTTCTTAGAACAAATTCAATTAACCCAGAAAGTAAAACAGCAATAAATTATGCAGGAAGATTTAGTCCCATTACCTCATTATCCACATTAACATTCTTGAAATCTACCTGCTGCATCCTTGCATGAGTACTGGATGTTTATCTATTTGCCTTGAAAAAACAACAGGAATTTGGTCACGGAGGTGATAGGACTCCTCAGATAAAAAATGTCTGTCATACTTGGCAAGTTTGTCTGCAGGAAGACATCTCATTAATTTGTAAGAACACAATGTGGTCAACTTGGCCATGCTCTGTCCAACAACTAAACCTCTAAAAGTAATCACTTATCACTCCTTTTTCAATGAAGTCCATGATTCATCATCAAAGGAAACATATTTTCCTTTTCTACCATATCTGTTTTGATTTAATTTTTCAAATTTTCTACTGCCTGAGGCACTTCAGAATAACAGTTTCATTTGTCCTGGTTTCTAAACATATTTTTGCACTAAACCAAGAAAAATAGTTACATGCAAAGTAACTAAATCATAAAGATAATAGATTGGACATTGCAAATTCTTCATTAGCTCTAAATAAAGCAATCACCAATTGAGAGATATTTTTGCTTCACAGGAATGACAGAAGGGGCTGAGGTGAAATAAAGACGAACAAGAGGAAATAATTGTGAAAGTGATGCTGTCATTTTCAGAAGAGAGAGGCTCAGCAGTTTTCCCCCATTCAGTGAGAGGTCTTTGCCAAGGCAGCCCAAGTTCTAGTCCAGCTGAACGGGCTGTGTTCCCTGTCAGTACATCTGGAGCTGCACGACTGAATTTGGCTGTGCAGCTGATGAGGTGTGGAGTGCTCCTGCCAGCAGTGAGCCTGGACATAGAGGACAGCACTAGAAGAAAACTGGGGCCAGCAAAAAAGCTGCAATTAATCTGTTGTGCTCAGCCTATACAAGGTCACTCCATTGATTCACCTGACAGATATGTTAAAATGGATTGCTTTTGGATGCATGAGAAGTATGTGTTACGATCCTGGAATGTTACTTTTTGCCCTCACCATGCCAGACTTTCCTTCCTTTTGCTTCTTACAAAGGACAAGGGCAAAGTGAAGGGTCAGGAAAAACAGATCCTTTCCATTAAAACATCAGGCTGTCTAAAAGTGACAGTTTGCTAGGTTAACTTACTTGCAACATCTGACCCAGCTCCATCTTCACTGATTCCCAAGCAAGCCACAAAATCACCAGCTATAGTTGGTACAAGGAACTGTTTTTTCAACTCATGAGAACCAAACCTGCAACAATATAACAAAAAAGATAGGATAATGAAACCCTATGAAGGTAAATTTTATTCAGAAGTTAGCTACAAATTTTGTTCTACCCACACAGAGATCAATTTTCCTACGTCTAGGGAAAAAAAAAAATGCTGTCCCAGAGCCAAAAGATAGAATAGATACCTTCCAAAGTCTTCACCAGAAGTGCAGTCACAATCATTTCAAAGAAGCTTTAAAAAGTGTTCAGGCATCTTACTCCCACAGAAATGTGGGGTCTAGATGCCCAAAATCTATCTTCATGACTGTTGCTTCAAAAGTTCCAGGTCTAAATAAATATAACCCCTGAGGATTCCTCTCAATGCTCCTGCACTAATATGCAGCCACCAGGATGGAGGACCTGCTCTCTGTTTATCTTCTGACTTTTGCACCATCTCTTTGCCAGGTTTTAGTGGTGACTGAAAACTTTGGCCACCATCTGCAAATACCTGTATTTAAATTATTCATATTTCACATCTACATTTAAATCATGCAGTAAAATCTATTCTTGCTTCTTCCAGCTGTTCTTTTAACTCCACCAAAAAAAAAAAAAAAAAAAAAGGGAAACAGCAAACTCTTGATGGTATTTTAACACAAAAATTTCACTTGGCTGTATTTAAATTCAGTTAAGAGGCACATGCTGTTTTCCCGTTGCTTAGAAGACTGTATCCAGTCAAAATATGCCATATTTCATTTCACGCTTGATTTTGTCCTAGTTAGAATTCACTGATTTCCTTCTGCAGTGTGAATGGTGAGTTCATGGTCTTGTTCTCGAACCTTTCTTGTGTGACTGAAAAATTCCTTGGGTCACAAAATGTCTTACGTGTCCAGGAATCCACAAATTCAAGTTCCTCCTCAGCCTCCTCTTTGTTGTGAGGCTTCCCAGGTTATCATCACCACTCAGCTCCTTAGGCTCACTGAGGCCTCCTTCTAAAGCATTGTCCCAGTACTTCCAAAGGAGTGGTGCCATTCAAACTAAGACTAAGTCATCCCCTCCAACCAACCCTGACACAGAGGCCATGGGACAGGCAGAGAACAGACTGGGATCTGGCAGACACTTCCACTTGGTACACACAAGGAGCTCAATTCCTAGTCCTGTCTCTGCTGAAAATCACAGCAGCAATCCCAAACAAATACAAGCAGCAAGTTTGGAGGGCCTACTCCTTCTTCTAGCATACTGGAACAAAGTTCTCATGTCTGTTAGACAGCTTACTTTATTTTTTTAATTTTCCATGGGGCATGATTAAGTACGGCTAGCTGCACATTCATCAATCAAAAAAAACCCAAACAGCCCAACCAACAACACGGGCATTCAGATTATGAGAGCAGATAGTTGTGATTTTTGGCAATGCTTTCTAATGCTTGAAACTTTGCTAATCTTTAGCATTTCAACAGAGGATTTTCATAGCAAGAACTTTGCTTAGAATAATATTTTTGGTTTGATGTCTTTCTTTGTTTTGAGTTCCAGAAAACAGTTCAGTTCTTTCCAAAAATGTGGTTATAGAAGATGTTATTTTGCAATCAAAAAAAAAAAAAATTAGTTGGGCAACACTATCTTCAGAAGATGGTGGGTCTCCATGCCTTGCAGGAGACAGCTTGCTTCTTGCTCAGCTGCTAGCTTTTGTGTAAAAAATATGTCACTTTTGTAAAATTCTACCCATCTGAAATGCATCACAGAAAAATCTCAGGTTTGCACAAATGTAATACCCACTTCTTCCCAGTTTAACAGCTCCAGAATTAGAAAACTGTTTTCAAGGAGATCATGCTCTGGACTCAAAACAGACCCGATCATGTCTGCCTTCTGGTTGGGGCCGTGCCCCAGAGGATAGTTTCTCATGTGATTACCTGTGCAGCCGTAGCATCACCATAAAATATTTTTCCATGCATTTGAGTATCCACACACACACACACACAAGTCTACAGTCAATGAATCTTGTTGATCCTATGCAGCAAAAAATCTCACACAACTGTGAGATTCTGACACACTGACTTTCATGAAAGTGGTTCATTTTTCTTGCTCCCTACTTTGTAACTAACATTGGTGGAATGTCATGAAAACAAAGACAGAAATTCCAGTGGTATACAATCTTGTAATTAGAGGGTAAAAGGAAACTAAAACCATGGCAAAATAGAGATGCAACACTTCTGTGATCCACACAGTTCTGTTTATATTTCCTAATTGTCAGCTGCAGATTCTCTTCTTTACAGCAAACAATAAATCAGATAGTAAAACCAACTCTTTTTATATTAATTCCCAGCTATGCTGCTAACAAGGGTGGAGAAAGAATCAGTGATGAAATAGAAAAGCACTCTCTTCCCACTAAATAATAATCATTGTCTTTACTATTTGCCTATAAAAAACAGGGGTGGAAAAAAAGTAAAGTTCACTGCCTACTGCTGAGATAAGCGGCTCTAAACTGATCTGGTATCACTACAGATGTGACACACTTCAGGTATGTCTATAAGCTCTGGGAAATGCATATCATTCACTGCCTCAGCTAGGAGCTGCTTTCTCCACTCTATTTGTAAGCAAGTAAGGGCAGTATTATATCTGAATGCATTTGAAAGACCTGGCAGAAGTTTATGTTCCAAACCATCAAAGGTCAGATCACTGTGGGCAAAGCATTTTCTATTTAGTTCTTAAATTTAGAAAGTCTTATTGCTTCACTTAGGGGACTCTGGGAATTACAGGAATCACATTCATGTAGTTTGTAGGTACACTCAGCATATGCTGGATAAATGCTGAACAAAGCTCAAAGTTATGAAAGCCAACAAAGAGCTACAGAGGCTTTTTTAGGGGCTGATGCTTGATTCCCACAGTATTGTTTGATTTGTGTAACAATGCATAATCAAGATGCAAAACCTGACTTATCTCTAGGAACGTGTTTAGAATCCCCACAGTACACAGATACTTTTAAAGAAACCATCCAGGACATGGGTGCCATTTGAATCCATGACCCAGGACAAGCAGTCCTGGGGGAGGTGGGGTCTTTCCACTGTACAGCATGAGGTAAAGATGCACACAGGCAAAAATTTCCTGTAGCTTTCTCTTTTCATTACCAAGTTTCACTTTTACATGTGTGTGGGGGGCATTGTACTGTATAAGGAGCCCGTGGATATGGCTCAGCAGTGGAGGAAAAATTCAATCATGCAGATACAAATTCAATTTAAGATTTCATCAAGTTAACAACAATTTCACTCTTCTTTTCCAAGAACTTCCACTTTAGGATTTCACTAGCACAAATATGCTTCACTAGCACAAATAACTTCACTGTTTTACTACAGCAGAACAGAGTAACAGAAGGCCAAAAATCTGCAATGGAACAAAATCCCATTTTCTTTTACCCACAGATTTTTTTTAAACCCCTGAATAAAGGGCTGTCATGGGGGCAAGGTAGTACTGTCTGAAATCTTTTAAAATACTATTCTTATTCCCAGTTGGACTATAGCTAAGCCGCTGTTGCAAGAGACATACTGAACTCCAAGCATTTAGCAAGCTTTTGGTGCATTACACAAAGGATAAGAAAACTTTAAGAAAAATTTTTGTAGATGAGACCTCCGAAGTCACACATACAGCAGGATAAGCAGATGCCAAGGGAATGAAGCTTATATTCCAGACTCTACAGTAGATTTACAGGTGTTTCCATTCAGAATGGGGAAAAAAAGTCAACAACCCCCGGAAAATTAGCAAAAAAATCCCTAAAATGTTCTTCTGAGTAAAACTTCCCTTCTTGTATATCTGTTTAGTGCAGAGAAATTCCCTATTTAGACATAATTATTAGAACTTAATTCCCACCCTCATCTTCCAGGGGCAAACTGCTGGATCACCCAGTTGCCCCACTCTAGTTTTAAGAACTGCTGTTATGATACAGAGTTTCTGCAAAACTTCTACATGAAGAAGTTTCCAAAAAACACTTTTATTTCAGTTTCCAAAAAACTGTCACTTTTATTGAGGGAGGAGAAAACCACAACAAATCAGATTAAGAAACCGTAGGAGTCTGAATGATAGTAAGCGATTCAAATGGAAACATTGATGTAGCTGATGAGAAAAACAAAAATGATTAATTGCCTAGAATGGGCATATTTAGGAAGCGTGATATTTGTGCTACAGCTTTAGGACTGACATGTTGCAAAGCTGGAAAAAGAGCAATTATAAAGCAGAATTAGAATGATCCTAATCATTGTAACTAAATGCATCTTTAGTATCACTGCACTGGGATATAAGAAAAAAAGACAGACATGAAAAAATTGGATTCTGGAATTGCATTTTTTTAATTGGTTGTGGTACCAAGATTTTGTGTTTGTAAACATATCATCTACTACTCAACGAGTTTTATGTTTTAACATAAAATTAATATAACTAAGATTAAAAAAAAAAAGAGAAAGTCTTTTCTCCTCTAAAGCAAACTGATAGAAGTAGAGAGTAGGTTCTTTCCTCTGGCATTACAGAGTAGCAACTAGACAGTAAATTTACACAGTATTGTTTTATTCTACTGATGACAATTGGGTTTTAGGTGAAACCAAACTTTCTGAAAATTACCTGGTAAGAGCAGGGGTAGCCATGCCAGCTTGCACTCCAATAGCCATGGGAATACCTCCACAACGGACATTTCCCAGCTCTTCTGCCACTGCAATATTATAGGAGAAGTCCAAACCCATGCCGCCATATTCTGAGAAAAAAACAAATCTATGATTCTTAAACTCTAGACTGCCATAAGCAACAAGAAAAACAACAAAAAAAGATGTTGCTACTGCAAGGACATGCCAACTGCAATTTAACTGCTAATTTTTATGTATTTGACAATTACCAGCTTCCCTTTCACAAAAGCAAAGCGCATTATTCTCTACAATATTCAGAATTGAACTGAGAATGACACCTGCTCTAATTATCTATGTGCACATCAGGTCACTTCTGAGTATCCTAAATAGCCTCATTACTTTTACTGGAAACAGAAGAAAGAAGTGACATGCTGTTGTAAATGATATCAGAAGGTAAAATTATTCTTTCCAACAGCAAGGTCATACGAACAAATCACACCACAAGGTAATAAGTGCTTTTATTTCCCCATGATAACACCTGACAGCCACTCTCATCACACAATGCAATCATCTTTCTCAGACACAGCAGCCAAGCCAGCACGGAGCGTGACCACACGCAGGTCGTGTTTCTATTCTAAATTACTGCTCTAGCTCAAAATGCATGTTAGACCCAACTGCAGTACCGAATGCATTTACTCCACACCCTGCACCGTGTCTGTGCAGTGATTAAAGCCCTCTGGTCCCAGGGAGCTGACAGCCTGGGGTGCTGGCCTGGTGCCAGCACAGCCCATTGATGCCCCCCTCCCCCCAGCATTCCAATCTGCAAATTCAATTAAAGAAGAAATTATTCTTCACCTCATTCCCATGCTCAGTGCTGATAAACCCTCTACATAGTGAAACACAGAAAAAGGCTACATTGCTATGATGGATGAGGTAATTTTTTAACTGTATAAAATAGCTAATAGTCCAAAGGAAATATGGTGAGAAAGTGAAGGTTAAGGTTACTACCTGACGTCATTAGTTGACTGAGCAGCTTTGATTAGATAATGCTGCCTCTTTTTTTTTTCCTTTAGATCCTTTGAAGACCAGCTAAGAAAATTTGAAATAAATAGATACAAACCCTCACCCCTCACACACACAATAAGGGGCAGATGACCCTTGTCTGTTTTCACTTGCTGACCTCAAACACTGAGTACACTCTTCACTGACCTGCTCTGAAGTTTTCGAAAAACACCATTAAATAAAGGTCAAAACACCACAGTGCATATAAACATGGGGCTTTGCATGCTATCATCTGTTTCCTAAGTCCACAAAAACTATCTTTGTGCATCCTATCTTTGCTGAAAGGAAAAACACAATCGGAAAGGCTAAGCATAAAGTTCAGTTTCCAAAAAACACTTCTCCCTAGGTCATACTGAATAGTCGAGACTGACAGAATTTTAAAAACTGCTCCTTTCCAAACTTCTGCTTGAAAATAATGTTTCTTAAAAATACACACAAGCACCTACTGGGAGCTTAAGCAGTACAATGGAACATATCAGCAATATGGAAATGTGTTTAACATAACAGATAATCTAATTTTCTTTCCTTTACACAGCCCCCATCAATAAATAAATGCTCTGAGAAGCAGTAAGGAATCTATGTGCACGTAAAGCCAAGACTATTTAAAGATATCTGGCATGAGAGAGATTTTGCTAATTTGGTAGCAGAGTTGTAATAGACAACCTCAGTTCTAGCACCACCTCCCAAATTCTTTCCATTAGATTTTTTTTTTAATTTTAATCAGTCAATTATTTTATTGCCAAACTATTATTACTGATTTTATTTTTAGTTTTGTCTACCAGGCAGTTATATTCCCATCTTTCACTTAAATTTCACAGATCAAACCCTTAGTTTCTTGATTTATCCAAAGTAACTTTCCAGGAGGAATGTTATGCACAAAACTGACTCAGAGAGGGGCTACTTTATCCAAGTATACAGTTTAGAGACATTCTTTGTCCATACCACTTTGCCCCTTGCATATTACCACAAAACAGACTCTTCTTCCACTCATTTGAGATAAGTTACTGAGTACACTTTAAAAACAAAATAATGCAAAAGGCCAACTTTTAAAGGGATAACAATGAAAGAATTTCTGACCAAATGGAGTAAAGAAGCAGAATGAAGTGTTGCGAGCTGAAGGTGGAGGGGGAAATCCTGCCAGGCAAAGAGATTATAAAATCCCAAAGTTTTATAATCTGGGGATAGATAATGCAAGAGACAACCACAGATGCAGGCAGGAATGGCAGAAGCAAATGGTAAAACCATTAATCAGACCACACCTAAGCTTTAATCAGTTCTGTTCCAGGAGCCAAGAAGCTAAAGCTTCATGGAGAAATGTGAGTGATTTGATGGACAATGATAGGGAATGTCATTTTTAGCCCTGAATACTGGATCAAGGTGGAGATTGATTTGTCAGTGCAGTCTGTGCCATTATATCCCTGGTAATTCAGGTAACTTAGGCCGTGGCCAAACACAGCTGTGTCCCATCTCTTTGGAGAACTGACCCTCCACACTGAGCCAGGCTGCAGTGGTGTCACACACAGCATCAGCAGGCAGTGCTGGCTACAAGCACCAAAGAAAGTTCCTTTTTTCCTCAGTTCCTAGTGGCAGCCTGGTGCTGGCAGACCCACTGCCAGAACTCCAGGCAGCAATTCTGGGGCTGGTCTGAGCACATTTCCCTGCATGTCATGGGACTCGGCTCTCAGTCTGGGACAAAACCACCAACCAGTCTTATTTCCATCTGCTTCAGTGATGACGGTAACAGTTTTATAACATTAATGTTCAATTTTTATTTGGAACAGAACTTGGGTAACACTTTTTGGAGGAGGGAAGAACTTTTTAAAGTAACTCTTATTTGCAAAAAAGTCAATATGCTGGTGGTAGTAGGTTTGTATTCACTAGTCTCATCCACAAACACCACTTCCTGGAAGTACCTGTACTATGATTTAATGCTAATAGGTCAATTAAATTTTAATTCCGAAGAGCAAAAACCATGCCTGACATAGGAGTGAAATTTTTGGTGAAAAATCCATAGTGAAAGAAACCAAATCAATTCCAGATTTGATTGCTTTACAAAACATACAAATAAATACACACAAAATCTCAAAAAATAAACAGCAAAAAACCCACACCAAAAAAACTCCACATCAAGAATAACAAATTATATTTAAATATTCACATATAAAACATTTCTGGGGTAGGCAAATTTTTCACTTTACTTTAAAATGAGATGAGGGGCCTTTAGAGAATTGTTTGGCTACATTACCATTTATAATTTGCAAGAAAATTAAATTAACAAAGCACAAAGTAGATTAAACTAGGCAGAAAGTCTATTGCACTATTGCTTTTATAGCTGAAAACAGGTAGAAAGAGGCAACTCAGCTATATTCAAATTGTTACATTTTTGATGATAATAGCACAACTTCCAACTGTTAAATGGCCTAATACAATATCTTATCCATTGTCAGATTTCAAATTCTTTTACAAAGCAATTAAAATATAAGGCCCAAAGCAGAGAGCACAGAAACATACAAATAAATAAAGATTCTGCACTGCAGCCCATGGGCAGGACCCAGGTTGCAGGAAGGAATAAGTGTGAGGAGGAAGGGAGAGCAGACAGGATGCGCTATGGACTGACTACAACCTCCCATCCCCATCTTGCTGTGCCGCTTGGGCTGGGGAGTGAGGTAGGTGGGTCAGGAATGAAGAATGGAACATGAACCTGGGAAGAACGGGGAGAAGATGTTGGAACATCTTGTTTTAATTTGCCTTTGCTTCTCACTACACAAATCTACTTTAACTGGCAGGAAATTAAAATAACTTTCTGCAAGCCAAGTCTGCTTTTTACTGTGATGGTAACTGGATGCCAGCCTCCCTGACTTTCCTCGACAGCCAGACCTTGATATTCTATTTTCTTCCCTGTCCTGTTGAAGAGGGGGAGCAAGTTAGTAGTTGGCCTATGAACCCACCACACCATGGTCAGTATATTAACTTATTCCTTTAAGATGGCTCTCTGCTTTTCTACTAATCACCACCATCATCTTATTTGAACACTCCCAACCCACAAAAACTCCTTATTTTATACAGACCAGCAAATTTTTACATGTCATGTTTGTAGATCCAGGCAGTGGAGTAGGAATCCAAAAGAACACAGCGAATGTTAAAAAACATTGATTTTAAAAGATGCAAGTGTACATTCTACTAAATCTGACAATTTAGGGTATCAGGAGTTTTACATATGCATTTAGGGCAGACGGCCCAAAACTACAAATAAAAGAGCAAGACATGATCTCCAGTTGCAACATGTCAAAACAGAAGCACTGCTGAGAAGACCAGTTGGAAAAGCAATGGCAAAGTCTATGAAAAAGGAGTCATAAAGGCAAATGAGAAGCTGAAGTCTTTCATATAATCATTTCACTTTTGTAAAGACCAGAGCATTTCTTGCCATATGTTCAAGATCCCTGCTCAAATATGACTCTGTTCCATGATGAGACAGGCTTAAGTCTCTAGTCAAAAATTGGTAAGAGTTTACAAGTGTCTCTATTTGAAATTTGCTTCTGAACCCCATCTAGTAGCTGTGAGTGAGAATGACAATATATGTGGTGAAAAGGGTCAGGAAATGAATTGAAGCAAGGTGAAACAGATGGTCCTCAGAGTGTTTTAAGAAGGTAAGTGAACCTGGATAAAGGAATGATGATAACACAATGCAGAATGCATCCAGAACTCCATTTTAAATGCTTATATTTATATAATTTATCTTGCTTGTTTACATACTTTCCAAAGTTTCAATGAAGTGTATTTACACCAAAGAAAATCACTCAGTATTATTTCTACTATGGTCATTTACCTCAGTGCAAGAAAAAAATCAAATATGTGCTTTCATATTTGTCACAGACAAATAAAACATGAATTCAATCCCAGTTTGAAGAGAGGTCTGAGAGACTACTATATTTGACACTAGAATGACAAAGCTAATTGCCAGTTTCATCACAGCCTACAATTTTAAATCAACAGAAGCAAAATTTAATTGTTCAAACCTTATTCACCTGTCATAAATACAGTTCAAGAATTTCAGCTCCAGGGAAGTACA